TATATATATATATATATATATGTGTGTGTGTGTGTATGCATCCAATATTTGTGTGTACGCTCTATATTTAACCCCTCATGTCTGAATGACAAATGCATTGAACACCTAATGCCATAAACAATTTCGCATGTAAAACGCTTATTTTACCTTTCTGAAATTGTAATTATCGAGATATAAAATCAGAATAAATCAATGTTCCGCGGAGTTTTAACATTCCGCGAAAATTCCATCGCAAAAGGTACATGCTTCTTAATTATTTGAATGTAAAAATGTTTTAATCGAAGTCTTGAATTATGCTGATTATACTACTCTTTATTTATTACTATACCATGTATTATTCGTAGAAAAAAAAAAATTGAAAAACATTTTCGTATTACAACGTTATTCCGTAGATGCATGATAATTGAATAATTAAGTAATATCGTTATACATTATAAGCCATTTTCATATCGTAACAATAGTACATTAGTCAACTAATATATAATTTTCTGGTTTTGTAAAAAGGTCAATGATGCGCGTCACCAAAGCATCGGAAATTACACGCGTTCTACGTAATTCATGGCATAAGGTACATGTCAATTGACGTACCTGTTATGGGTGCGGCCAACAATATAGAACAAGTGTATTTATCTCTTCTATTAATATCAGCCAGAGCTATTCTATACCACCATTGTTACTTAAGCAGCAAAGGTCAATCTATTTTCACCGAGGAAAAGTCAGTTTCGCCGACATAAATTGGAATAGAAATTATCTTTCAGTTAACCGATTTTATTCATCCGCAGCTCGTGATTTTTCTCAACATCCCGCGATGATACGACGTTTATTTAATCTCCATATTATTAATATACGACACTACATTATAATTATAATGTAATCGTAATATATAAGGCTATGTGTGACAATTAACAATGTTCGCTTAGTACCAGCGACATTGTGTATTACGTTGCGTGCACGTGCAAGGCATGCGTGATAACGTTAACTGATAACGATCATTCTTTACTCACGTTCGTGTCAAGGACGCCGTTGCCATCTGTATCATACAACCGGAACATAACTGAGGAAAAAAAAAAAAAGGATTATTGAGTTAACGCAAGCCGAAATTGCCGCGCAACAAGTTGCAGCTGCACTACAAGTCCAGGCGGAATGGACTTGTAACAACTGTGGCAGAAAATCGAGAATGACTGCCGGCCGACACGCGAGTCCCTCTCGTAAATTTTGTACATCTATCAATCCCGTTTTTTTTCCCCTTCTTTTACATGTTGTCTACAATTTTTCTCCGAGAGAGCAAAATATTCGATTGCTTAAAACGATTGCGTTCTTTCAAACTTTTCCGCAGGTCGAAAAAACAAATTTATGTAAAGACGATTCGATTCCTTTGGTTCTTGTTTATTTTAACGTGTGCCGTCATTTCGATATATTCTAAACGCACGACATCACGCCCTTTTTATCTTTCTACGGAAGTACTTTAAAATGTTTTTCACAAAAGGCCGAAAAAGTTGCATGCGGAAACGTTTTAATAAACACACGGGAAAGCGGCTGTGCGATTTTTGTGAGAAGATTAGAGTCTAGATTTTTGAGCCTGGAGGAGATATTCACGATGATATTGTGTGTAGATACTCCGCAAAACAATTTTTCACTGTTCAATGTGCCACATGCACGTGAAATATCGCTCTGATAATGTTCCTCTAAAAACGACCGGGATTTCGTGATTTATGCGCGGGCATGTTTTTTGATTATACAGGAAACAACCGTGTGACCATTATAGCATCGATCGGCTATAGAAAACAACATTGGTCAGTTTAAAAGCATCATTGATCATCCGCTAATGAATATTATTTGGCACAAAAGCTGAAGGGAGTTTCGCCGATTCCGAGATAATTGTTGTCTCTGTGGCAATTACTTACATTCCAGTTTATCCTCCGGTCTACCGGCTTCCAAGAGGGAAAGATAACAAACGATGTCTTTGAGGCTGACTTTAACGGACTGGACGTCTATTGTGCTTTGCTTTCTGACAAGATGTCTCATCTCTGGAAAACAGAAATTTATTTTCAACTTGATTTCACACGCTAAATGACTTGTTTTTTATCGATCGATAAGCGCAACATGATTTTAATATAGTATCATTCATACTGCATTATTGAAATAATTCGGATTTATATGTTGCAACTCATAAATTTATAGTAAATATTCTAGAATGTATTAATTTCAATATACATATATGATGTATCAGATAATTATAGTTATACAGCAAAATCCTAATTTTACTTTTCAAATATTAATGTGATGTGATCTTTTAATTTATCAGGATATCGTCGATATGAATAATCCGTACAACGATCGTAACCATTTTCATTTCAACGGGGGGTTAAAGTAAATTTTCATCGGAATTTTCCTTGACGTTGCATTTCGCGGAAAGATTGCTGTTAAAGTACCTGCCCGTCGAGCATAAAGTGAGAATCGCCAGACTTACAATATGACGGATCTGTCCCATATTTCGCGGAAAATTCACGATGCACTTGGCGTTAAAAACGAACGGAAAATCCGGCGCGATTTCGGTAGAATGGCCGAGTCGTATTTTCCGATAAACGATCACGCGGACTTGAGTAATTGTGCCTAAAAGTTTAAAGAACCTGTTGCTTCGACCAAAGCAGCACGATTGTCAATATGTATAAGCGATGAATTGAATTTATCATAATAGATTGTTAGAGTTTAGCAACGGCTCGAGACAGGTCGACGACGTCTAGCCTGTATTTCTGGATCGCCTATTTATACCCGAACCACCGTGTAGCTCTACGTGAATCAACGCGGCTTTACATCGATTGGATTGCCGTTAATAAAATTTGTTTTTGCTGTCACAATTTCGAAGTTCGAATTGTTTCGGGAGACCGAAACTAATTACGATCAATATTTTGAATAAATAAAAATCCCGTGAAAGCTATCGCTTGCTCCTGGAAGTCGATAGAAAGTTGAGAGAAAATACATTTTCCATTTTTACAATACGAAGAAATGGATTTATTAATATTTAACACCGACTTTAAATTCCTGATCATTAAAATCATTGATTTGATTAATGATCAATTGAGTATTAATTTTTTTTTTGGAATACAATTTACTAGAAATCGATATTATCTATATAAAGATGCATATATTCTTATCTCAAGAGATCCATCAACTTCGAATACGTCCCATGAATATATGATTATGTTTTCCAATAATAGAAAAATTAGCACACGATCTCCCGATAGTTTCGATTTCTGTTCTTATTTTTGGACGATATCACGTGTCTCGCAGGAATAATTTCATACGGTGGTGAACAAGTTAAAAATAAATTTTCGCACGAGACGATACGTCGCGCGAGCTAACATAGCGTTACGCGTTTTATCCGTCGTTTTTTTTATTTATGTGGGATAGTACATTTTTTTTATGTTCGAATAATCCAATCTTTTCCAACTGAAAATCGCGAGAAAGCATTGGACACTTGGAAAAAAAAAAAAATTCAACAACGAGAAAACACGACGTTCTGATCAATTGCGTACATGACGATTAATCACCGTGACGTTTAGCACTGCTAAAACTTTGAATAAATCTACTAAATAATTTTCCATTGCGATGTTTATATAAATCCATATTATTTACCGATACTTCGCGTAACGAAGTACTTTTTCTCTCGCAATAATTTTTGTTTCTTTTAACGATGGACAGCGGATTTCATCAAAATTGGAGACAATTTCATAACCGTCTCTCTCTGTAACTTTACTTCTTGTTTTAGTGAAAATTTATGATTATCGCAAGTAACGAACGAACTAATTGTTACATGCTGCAATATATCGGTTATTTGATTGATTTTGCATAATGAATTAACGTGTTCGTAATTGACTATATATACACATGGATTAAAAAGAGATCTGCGAAGATTGTTGTAAATATCGATTATATTTACATATACTAAAATTTTTTTTTTACTAAAGCGTGATGGTAAACAATTTTATATGAATCTATGAAGATCGCGAAACGCTATCTCACCTTCCTTTAGCTTGACTCCCGACACGTTTGGTAACGATGGACATGACTGGACCATTTTCCTGTCACTACTAAAACGACGAAATAGGGAAACTTATCTTCACTGAAACGGATTATCCAATCTCTTTGTGAGTGCGATGTTTAACCAGAATCGAATAATTAGTTTACCCGACTGCTCGAGTCGCGCATCGACGTCAACGTGCGCGATTAATGATTTAGCACTTGTTGCTTCTCCTGCGACTGAAGAGTCACTGAGAAACGTGGCCCAAGGAAACTGGTATCATTCTCTCGCACATTCGTGACGTCATATATACCGGATGATACCGGCGATATAGCTATTTCGGTGACATGTGCATGCGCTACGCAAACCTCGCCTGTATGCCGCGCGAATAATTCGAAGCGCGCGCTGTGCTCCCACTCTGTGCTATTCTGGGATCGATATGGCAGCAGATCGATTAGTAGTAGTTCATTAATAAAGGGAAACGCGAAATGACGTTAGATTCCGTCCTCGCATGAACGGCGCTTTTTTATACCTTTCGCACTTCAAGTGGTATTGTCGACTCTTGGAGAAAAATAGAGTATCGAATAGATAGGCATTAACAAAATTAGAAATATGCATGGAAGGAATATATACATATGGAAACATATATGTGTGTGTGTGTGTGTGTGTGTGTGTGTGTGTGTGTGTGTGTGTGTGTGTGTGTGTGTGTGTGTAGAGAAGAGTAGTAGTTA